CTTCCCATTCGAACTCGTTCAATTGAAGTCATTGCTTGTACAACCTACTTGACTTGAATGAAACTGCTCCTGCGTCAATTGGCCATCCAAATCCATAGTACCCATAGTTGGTTCCACATGAACCCCACATTCTTGTTGAGTATCACCGTCGAAGGACGGCTCCTCCTGAAGACCACGCATCATGTACCCATTCTCCACCACCACCTCAGCCATGACCACATTGGAAGCTTGGATTACCCTATTATAGTGAGACCAATGAGCATGGTCGCGTAAGGGCATCAGCACATAGTGTGCCCTAGTCTTTGCACTATCAAACCTTCCCTTCAGTGTGAAATCACCGTCAAACTTTTCCTTCAAATGGACACAAAGATCGCTGAAGCTAGGAGGTTCATCAAACTATTCTAATTCTTCTTCCATATCCTCAAACATACAATCTTCTCTCCTAACACTTCCTCCGTAAAAAACTAACACAACAATCCATCTACAAAAGCATTTCAAAAAACCTCATCAGTTGTCCAAATCGTCGTGCCTACTAAATAAGAAAACTAACTAATCTAATATTAATACCTATAACAACAATTCTAACTAACTATACTAAATACATTAATTAATATTAGTACCTATACTAACAATACTAACTAACTGTATTAACCAACTATACTAACTTCACTAACTATACCTATCTAGCCAACTTTACTAATTTCATTGGCTAATTTTGAATCCTAACCCTAGCTAACAACAATTCTATTGAAGCAACAAATGCACAAGAGGACTACCTCGACAAACCACAGCGGAAATGGTCGGCCGGCGGCAAGAGGATCACCCCAATCCACCTAAGGCGACGAGCTGGCCGGCGGCGGCAATGGCCGGCCGGCGGCGGGCTTCTTCTGCGCCCAAAGTTGGAGGAGGGTTAAGGATATGGGGTGGCAGGGGGGAAGAGGATGGGGAGAGAGGGAGGCCGCGCCACAGGAAAACGGCGGCCGCGCCGGCGACGGGGAGGGGCGGCGGCGCAGTGGGGACAGGGAGGGACTGAGAGAGGGAGACAAGGGAGAGAGGGAGCCGGCGGGGGAGGCGCGGCGGCGGGGGCTGGACGGCTCGGAGGCAGCTGCTGTGCAGCGCGGAGTGAAACAGAGACGGAGGAAAGGGATTGGGCCGCGGGCCTCTATTTGGCTCTGTCGCGCCCTGACGGGTGGCGCGTCACAGCCGCGCCCTGATCGGTGGCGCGGCAAGGCGTGCCATGTCAGCGATCAGCGGGGCGAGATGTTGCCATGTACGCACCCCTACCGCGCCGCCATGCATGGCGCGGCAGAGTTCTTTCTCCGCGCCCTGGAAATAGGCGTGGCCAAAAGTGTTACTTTTGAAGAAGAAAAAACAGTGTTAGAATTAAGAATAGTTTAAAAAAAGTGTTAAAAATATAAATAAAATCGCAACGGGCAACAGGTATGGTTTGATTTTCAGTTGTCACTGTATATGCCCTACTACTTGTAGTTGCCAGTGCCTGTACTGGTACTTAATAACAATACAAAAATTGGCAATCATGCAGGGACTAATGGAGCGTTGAAGGCATGCATGATTATGGTTACGATTACTAGGGTGGCGGTTACGGCAGCCACATCTCGCATCGGTCTTGAGGAGAAGAAATGCGTGCTGACTGCAGCTGGGAGCTTCCGAAAGATGCAGGCTATGATGGTGAACCACTGATTGTGATTGCTGCGGTCCAAATGGGTCTAGTAACGCTACCTCCTTGGTTGGCTTTTGTGCCTGCAGAGTGCAGAGTTGTCACTGCTAGACTGAATATTATCTGTATGGTGGGAGAATTCTTAACTGTCCTCTTCTTCATCAAGTTCAGAACAAATTGTTTTTTGTTGTTTACCGGACACTGTCAAGGTCCATGATATCCAGTGATGGGCGTGCTTAAACTGTCAAAGATCTACTGGCCCGTGTTGGACTGATTTGCATGGAGTATTGGTGGATCGATTTCACCTCAGTAAATTTTGATCGATTCGGTAGTCTCCGCTCTGCACTCCAGTGACTTGTTACCGGCCCCCAGCGAGTTCATGGTCATGGAATCCCTCCCTTCACAAGGGTAGTAGCACAAGGAAATGTCTCGAGGCCGTGTCAAACGAAACACGAGGGGTTTCGCAGACAGACGATGGGCAGGAGGTCCAGGGGGCGAGAAACGCGGATGCCCCGGGGATCAGAGCATCAGGCCAAAGGACGGTACGGGATGCTGAAAATGAGGCGAGGGCAGAAGTGTAGCGGCATGATACTGCCCGTGGACGATTGCCTCCATCAGACGATCACCCGGATGATTATGTTGGTTGATTGCCCAAGGTAGCCACTCCATAGGCCAAATGGTCATTGTGAATTCGACACTGAATGACTGAAAGGGGATATATCCACAAATTTTCCACTACAAATTGCTGTCAACCCTTAATCCTGCCATTAGTGATTGGATTATAACATTTTTCAGTGAGCACGAAATTGTTACAACCCTATTCACTGAACATTTTTGCAGAAAAAACATACAAGATACAATTTCGTGCTCACCGAACATTTCTGTACGAGAACACTGATGATAGATTAGTATGTAAATAATAATCAAAAGTAAAATAGTGTGACATCACACATGTCTTTTACTGCCACGCTACTATTAGTATATAATCGAAAGTAAACCAGTGTGCTCCTATATATGCCTATATATAATAATAATCAAAAGTAACACGCTACAGAATTGCAACCACTGATCCTCGGTCTTCATTAATGTGCACTGCAACTATAACTAGCAGACACCAAAAATGCAGCTTGCAAGCACGTAACAAGTTCAGAAAAGTCCTCTCTTCATGTTATTTTAACTCTTGAGTACGTTTCATCGATTGTTACATCCTGTTTATATTACTACCGTCCTAAAAAATATGATTCTAGGATTAATTCGAATCCAAATATCTTAACTTTGGCTAATGAATTTATAAAAATCAAATATTTATAAAATAAAAATATATTTGATAACGAATCTAATGATATATATTTACTGTGATAAATTATAGAATTTTATATAAATTTAATTAAACTTAAGCGTGTTCATTCTATAATTGTATCTTTTTTTTAGACGGAATCATCGGGTGCTGCATTCTTATATATCTTTACTTTCTTTAACTTCATATTTGCTTCAAAACATTGTACGTAACAAAGGTATACATGTCGACGTGCACATATGCTCACTGTTATGAACACATACAGGTACACTAGGTCCAATCTATATAAGCACTATAAAACAACAAGTCTTGGTACCGAGGAGCCAATGGTTGCTATACCAGTTGGTCAGGCCTCTGGGTGGTGTCCCCCGTGATAGAGTTCGAATCTTTGTCGCGAATTTTTGGTCGGCGGTGTAGAAAAAAAACTTCATCGCCTATCCCGCGCTTCCAAAGCATTTGTAAAATGGACCGATCCTCCCACCAGGTAACTGACCCCTGTATGGGGGCTAGGGGCATGGGGTTTTGAGGTTTTCTCGGGCTGGGTGATAAGCCCGGTACCTTAAGCTAAAATAGCTTGGGGTGACTACCCCACGCGCAGCCCGAGTTTTTTTTTTTGTATTGAGGAAATCATGGTAAACATTTCGCTATCTACAATAATACCTTTCGAATACTAAATGCACAGCAGGTCCATGGACGAATATATTTCACTCCATGCGTGGACTCAAAAACGAAATGCGGCAAGGACGAATAATGGATGAATGAACCAACAGCACCACGGACCACACCTATGTGTGCTACGTAGCATGCACAGATGTCGCCGTGACATAGCGTGCTACGTAGCTTGCACAGATGTCGCCGTGACATGCTCGTTATTAACTCTCCAAGACTCCAACTCCCACCAACAACAAAATCAAAGGCAAAACGCACATGGCTCGATTGAATCATGCTTATTTAAAAATCTACCATGGTTTCCGGCCGTGGTCAGCACCAGTAGCTCTCTACAATAGAGACGTCAATGCCCAGCAACGCACGTACTACTTACACACGTACGGAGTATCATTCTACCGGCGGTTGCTGTGTACTGCTACTACGTATGCTACGGTACGTACATGTTCCCTTCAGCATGCTGTACGTACAAACAGAACGGTGGTTTTCAGAGACTATCATTGCAAAACGCTCTGTGATTTGACAACACGCGCGCATTTGGCAGGACGTGGCAGTGCCCACAAGGCCACAACACTGACGTCAAAAAAGAACTAAATCTGTCTGTACATGACACTTGGAATATACTAGGACCCAGTTTATTTGAATTCCATGTCTAGAGTTTAGCCACTGAACACTAGATCATTTTAGCTTTTGGGCTTCGAACATAAGGTTTAAAATAATGTCTAAACCTCAGCCAACTTCATAGAAAGTTTGGACTACACGAATGAGCTAAAGTGGTTTAAAGTTTAACCTCTCAACTTTAGCTCACTATAAAGTTTAGATTAGAGAATCCAAACGGATCCTTAGCATTAATTGCACTAAATTGTAGGTGACCAGAGGTTATGTTTTCCTGCACCTTATTCGCTTGAACTTATCAGTTCAACTTATCCGCTATAGTACAATATTTTTCTCTTCTAATAAATCGGCATCAGCCGGTTTATCGGTTTATCAGCCGCAGCAGCCGAACAGGAAGGTCCGCCCCAAAAACCTGTGATGTTGTGTGGTAGTGTCCCATGGGGCATGATCAATCGGCATTCTGCCCGTATTGCTACTGTTCCCTTGCCCGCAGGGAAGAGTGACGGAGCAGCTTCTGTCCTCTTTCCACGTCTCCCTACACCTCATCGCCTCATCATAAAACCCCCTCGCTCCCGCGGTCTCAGCTCCCACCTCACCACACCACGCCACTCTCGCCTCCTCCTTCTCGCACAGTCACTCTCCTCCCGGCACCAGGCAGCAGCTCTCTGCTGCCAATCAACTCCACCAACGCACACACACCCCACAACATCAGGAGGAAGCTAGGGGACGACGAGCCGAGGATCCATGGCCATGGACGACTCGTCCTCCGGCTCCTCCGAGCCCACCTCGTTGTCCTCCGTGGAGGCTCCCGCGTCCCCGACCGCGTCGTCCTCCGACTCCGCCTCCGCCGCGGGCAGCAGCAGCAAGAAGCGGCGGCGCACCAAGGACGGGCACCACCCGACGTACCGCGGCGTGCGCATGCGAGCCTGGGGCAAATGGGTGTCGGAGATCCGGGAGCCGCGCAAGAAGTCGCGCATCTGGCTCGGCACCTTCGCCACCGCCGAGATGGCGGCGCGCGCCCACGACGTGGCCGCGCTGGCGATCAAGGGCCGCGCCGCGCACCTCAACTTCCCGGAGCTCGCGAGCGAGCTCCCGCGCCCGGCCACCGCGGCGCCCAAGGACGTCCAGGCCGCCGCCGCGCTCGCCGCCGCCGCGGACTTCCCGGCCCCCGCCAATGCGGCGGGCGCCGCCAGGGAGGACCCCGACGATGACGGCCCGGACGCCAGCGTCGCCTCCGACGACGTCTCCGCCTCGACGCCGCCAGCGCTGGACAACCCCGACGACGCGCTGTTCGACCTCCCCGACCTCCTCCTGGACCTAAGACACGGGGCCTCGTCGTGCCAGCTCTCGTGCGCGCCATCGTGGTACGACGACGTGTGCTTCTCCGTCGCCGCCGGTGCCGGCGCGTTCCGCCTGGAGGAGCCGCCGCTGCTGTGGGAGTACTGAGTCCAATAAAAATAGAATATTTTGCTCAGTCGTCGTCGACGACGACGAGAATCAAGTTAGAGCACGCGGCTTCGAGCTGCTTCGTTCGTGTGTGTGGCTATGGACTGTAATTGCATCAGTGGACCAGGAAGGAACTAGCGATGTAAACCATGCAGTGCAGCGCTGGATCAGCAGAAATGGAACCTAATTAGAGCCATTTCTCCTTTGCGTCTGCTCCTCCAGATTTAGAAAGCAAACCATGTATAAAAAAAAACCAATTCATCCCCGGCCCGTTCCTATCGCTCCTCCAGTGTCCAGTCTGTCTATCTTTGCTTGGATTGTGGGGCAAGAATATGGTATGGTGCACGACTAACCGCGCATCTAGCTCCTTTCCTTTCATTCATTCTCCGTTGCTCAATGGGGTTATATATATAATAAATCTTTTAATTAGTAGTAGCAAGTAGCAAGCACTAGTGCTATTTAAAGGTGATCTAGCCCGATTTGGACTAATGCCCTCACGAAACGCTTTCGCGAAAGGTGCACACACCTTTTAAATTACGGCCGGATTCGTCCACCGATCATCTCCAACGCAGCACGAAATGAAAAGCGCGCGCACGCCACCCATCGTCAATCAAAGAAGTGAATGAAGAAAGAAATTCACCCGACGTCCCGACCCGGGCCAGCAGGAGGAACCTGTCCTGTCCTGTGGCCTTTTCACGCAACAACGACGGTCGCATGCAGCCTGTAACCGCGAACCAAAAGCCGTGGGATGGAGACCGGCCGGAGCTAGGCCGAGGCGCGCGGCGCGATGGAGAGCGACGGCGACTGCGCGGAAAGCGGCGTGCATGAATCCCGGCAGAGCTAGCGCCGGGCTGCTGTAAGACGAGAAGGAAAGCGGTGGCAGCAGTGCCGGGCCGTATCCGCGTGTCGCCATCGGACGCCTTGGCCGGCTCCACCGATCGCGCGCGTGCGTGCTCTCGCCTCTCGCTCGCTTGCCCTGGCGTTCATACACGCACACGGTGCGGCGTACGCGCGCGCGGCACCGCTCGATCGGCGGTGGCGCGTTGGACGTTTTCGTCGACGCTAGCGAGCAAGCCTGGCTGACGCAGACGGCCAGGCCATAGATGCACGCACGGCGCCAACGGGGCCGCGGCGAGGAGAGGACAGCGGAGTGGTTGCGCCCGCATAAATGGCACGGTTTCCTGGCCGGGCCGGGGGGACGGGCGGGCGGGCCGGCGTCGTCGATCTTACCGCGAGAATAAGGCGAGATCTGGAGGGCGTGCCTCCCGTCCGTCCGTCCGTCCTCTCTGTTCGGCGTCGTCGCCCACAGCAGCTCGCTCGCTTTATCCACCTTGAGCGACGAGTTAATGCCACTGCTGCTGACCTGACCAAGTGACCATACCATACTGCTCCTTTGGACCTTCGTGGAGGACAGTTCGCGCTGGCACGCACGGCAACCATGCACGACGACACAGCAGCAGTCTTGCATTGTGGCGATCGTGGTGTGGCTGTACACAAGCGCGAGAGGTGGCCGCACGAGTGGGCCGCCACGGAGGTGAACACGGGTGGTGCCTGGCGTGAGGCCTGCCGGGGTTCTGCTGTACGGCACTGCTGGCGAGTCGTCGTTGTTTTCCGTGCACGAGATCTTTGACATGGCGCGCACTTGTGGGCATGCTTCTTGCTGGTCGCCATTTCATCTTTTTTTTTACGGACATTTCATCTTTTTTTTATATATATACGAGTACTATACTGTTCAATTTATTATCCGTGTTCGCGGGATAGGGGATCCTTGTTTTACGGGTTAGCTCTGTGCATTTCCTGCAAGAATTCGGGTTCTAGGTCGTGTAGAGTATTATCCATCCGTCATGCACACATGCGACAGCAACGGAGACGGGAGACCAGTTCAGATGGTGCTGAGGATGGATGTACCCTTATAGCAACTCGTACTAGGAGCGGCAATGTTGTGGTGCTTTGGTTAGACTTAACTTGTCCTGTTGAACAATGTTATTTACAATCCACGTACAACTATACCTCTGCTACACTTAAACAATATGTATGCAAGTGTCAACTACATGATGATGAAAACATAGATCTCATACGATTACAGTCTAAATATTTTATTAAATGAATTTATAATAACGTGTATACGGGTGGGCCCATAGGCTAGAGGTGTTTCGCTTCTTAATCGGTAATTTTTTCCACGCGGGCAAACCCATTTTCATTAGAGATAACGGAAATACACAGTGAGGATTACAGACAGAAGACAAAAGAGATTCCAGAAGTAGCAAACTATCACGAAAACGACTAAGCATGGCTCAAAAGAAACAGCCACCTAACAACCACCAGAAACCACTTGACCAGAAACCACAGTGACAATAACAAGATTTTCTATAGAACCAAGACGAAGACTCAACTGCTAAAACTAACAATGTCTATTCATCCAAAAAGGCCACACCATAGCCAGGAACCATCCCAGGTTCTGTCTTCTGAACAAGCACTTTTCCACGCACTTGATGCCCGCACAGCGCAAGGGAGCTGAGTTAAGCAGAATCATCGTCTTGATTAGATCGTTCACCATCTTCAAGGAGCAACTGATTCACCTGTCTTGTGGTTTGGGACGCGAGAATCTCCTTGGCGACTGCATAGTATTTGCGCCCTCCACCAGCTGATCTCTGTCCAATTCTGCAAATAAACCTGACCAATAAATCATGAGCGCACAAGCATGACATATTATTTCCAACGGGTTTTTTTTAACGCTTTTCCTTCAAATGCAACTTTGTTTCTGCATTTCCAAATAGCCCAGCAAATAGCTGCCACTCCCCAAGGATGAAATTTCTTGCCAAACGGGAACCACTTCTCACACCATAACCAACACTGATCGAGATTCATAGGAACATTAGAAGCACCAAAGCATTCGGCAACTATAACCCATATAATCTTAGCAACAGGACATTGAAAAAAAGATGAGAAACAGTCTCAATTGAATCACAGAACACACAACTGGGATCACCTTGCCACTTTCTCTTTCTTAAATTTTCTCTAGTAAAAATGGCATCATTTGCTAAAAGCCATAAGAAGATTTTAATTTTCTCTGGGATTTTCCCTTTCCAAATTCGTTTGTGATACACCCCAGTGGTAGAGCTAGTCAAAGCATCATACACCGATTTAACAGTAAATCTACCTTTCTTACCTAATCTCCATAGAACTGTATCGCCATTACTGTCAGATAACGTAAAGCTCGAAGTATCATGCAGAATATTTTTCCAGCTAGTTCTCAGTTCCTCAAACAGACATCGCCTAAAAGTAACTGACATCCCACCAAAAAACTGCGCAACAGTGATGTTTTTGTTTTCACACAATTCAAACAACACAGGAGCAGATACATGTAGAGGCTCCTTATATACCCAACGATCAAGCCAAAACCTAGTTAAATTTCCATTCCCAATGGATACACATCTACCCTGTAAATAAATGTCTTTTACTTTGAGTAAATCAGGCCAAATCGAAGAATCATTCAATCTATGGCTAACCTCATGAATCGATTTAGATCTCAAGTATTTAAACTTTATAATATCTTGCCACAAGCCTTCTTCTTTTTCTAATCTCCACCACCATTTGCACATTAAACTAATATTCAGTTTCTTCAAATCTTTTATCCCTAAACCACCTTTCTATTTATTTTTACAAATTGTTTCCCACTTAATCAAATGATATTTCTTCTTTGTCCCACCTCCTTGCTAGAAAAAAGTTCTTCTAGTCTTATCCAAGCACTTGATAGTTGACTTAGGAAGCAGATAGACCGACATATGATAAACTGAGGAGTTATTCAAACTAGCACTTATGAGGGTTGACCTCCCAGCTATAGACAGGGTTCCACCCTTCCAGACATCCAGACTTTTATTACCTTTCTTTACTAATAGCATCCGTCACTAACTTTTAATTTGCTTGGACTAACCGGCACCCCCAAATACTTAATTGGAAAAAGTCCAACTTGGCAGTTAAAAATTTCAGCATACTGATTACCCCAGTTCTCCTCATCATTAATCATAAGAATTTCACTTTTGTTAAAATTAATTTTCAATCCAGCAAGCATTTCAAAAAGGTATAGTAAGAGTTTCATATGAGTAGCACCCTCCAAATCATGTTTAAGAAAGAGGATAGTATCGCCCGCGTACTGCAAAATAGCCACACCGTTAGGTATGACATGACTTATCAATCCAATAATTAAATTGCTTTCCTGAGTTTTGTGCACCATTCTAGTCAAACAGTCAGCCACGAAATTGAATAGAATTGGTGACAATGGGTCACCTTGCCTAACCCCTTTGAAGCTTTTGATATAGGAACCAATCTTGTTATTCATCTTTACACTAATAGTACCGCCGGATACAACTTGTTTGATCCAATAACACCATTTGCTATGAAAACCCCTTTTTTCCAAACATTCAAAAAGCAATTTTCAGTTTACCTTGTCGTATGCTTTCTCAAAATCTAACTTCAGAATTATTCCAATTTTTTTCCTTCTTTTTGTTTCATGTATGATTTCATGTAAACACATGATTCTCGACATTATATTTCTATTTTTCATGAAGGCAGTTTGAGTTTTATGAATCAATTTATCAGCCACCAACTCCAGCCTAAGGGTCAATGTTTTTGTAATCAAATTATACAGACAATTCAATAAACAGATTAGTCTAAAGTGTTGTATTCATTGAAGCTTTTTTAATCTTTGGTAACAAAGTGATGATCCCATAATTAATTCTGCTAGTGTCAACTTTCTGATTGTAGAAATCATCAAATAATTGTATAATAATAGCCTTTACAATGTTCCAATAACTTTGATAAAACTCAATAGGGATTTTATCTGGTCCTGCAGGTTTGTTTTTTTTTTCATCTGATCAAGGGCATATTTGATTTCTTTTTTTAGTAAAAGGTTTACACAAAGATTCATTATCACTTGAAGAGACTCTAGGAATATTTTCCCAAATTTCAAGGTCCATTTGAACCTCATATTCAACTGGTGG